CCGAAGTGAAGAACTTCATATAACCCTTATTTTATTACACAATTAACCTAGAGTACAGACACACATACATATATTTGTTGTATGATAAATTTGTAATTTCATAACAATACAAAATTCTGATGCTGACTTCACCTAAAATAGAGTTTAAGATACAAAATTAAAACCAAAATACATATTAAAACTAGAATTAGTAGTAGGATTATAACATTCAATTTAAAATGCAAATGTAACATTTCATGAGAACCATTGCTCGGTTGGTGCACGATCGAACCCCGAGCAACATTATGAGGTTGGAAAACACTCGAACTATAGTGATAGTCTCCGATTGTGACACCATCGAATTCTGTGCAACGCTGTCCGATTGGAATAACGTAGAATCTGAAGGATTGCCTGCCCACCTGAAGAAGTCGCAGTTACGTGTTTTCACCTCTGACACCTATAGAACTTCCTTCCGTAGCTATGTTGCCGGCATGACGTCAGTAGAAATGACGACATTCCGCAGCGGCACATCATTTGCCCGGACTTCCCTAAATACTAGAACTCATCGTTCTGCAATTATTAAAAAGAGAATATATCAGTAAAAAAAAAGAGGAAATAAAGAAAATTTACATACCAAAGTGTGGAGGCAACGGTTGCTGACAATGGAAGTATAGAGAAATGTTTTCATAGAACTCCCATTTCAAGTGTTTGCTCAACTCATAATGAATATTTGTGTTTGCTGTTTAGAAGCAATTAAATGCAGAACAAATAACAAAATAACAATACAACAAACTCATAAATGTGAAGGCAAATCAATCCTTGTTGAGCAAACCGAATAAGCTATGCTTCTTCCACGATAAAGTCATCCATGGAATAACCACAAGCTTTAAAAGTACATTTCCAAAATTTAATTTTTTCTCTTTTTTTACCGATTCAAAGCTACAGGTAGAGCTCTCCGCTGTGCGGGCTCAAATATGACATGGAATTGCATATCCACGGATTAGTATCCATAAATCCCAGTGGTAATGACAACATTGGTTACCTAAGAATAACTTGGCCATCCAAAGATGCGGCATCATCACCATTGGAAGCATATGAATATCATCACCTAATAAATTCTTTCAGTTGCGAAGATCATTCAGATAAACATTCATGCCAAAGTGACATGCATAACCAACAAACAATTATCTAGGTAGATAAATGAAAATAAACACCCAACTACAGCATAGTTTAATAACTTGAGATAAGTTTGCAGCCCATATGAAAGAAGTTCCCATAAGAAAGAAGTTCCATAGAATTGAATAATTACATCTATGGATATAGTCAAGAACCAGTACATGATCATCCCAAAAGGTAACATTTACTTTATATCTTTCAGATGATTCGCTTACTCAAATGCAACTGGAAAATATAAGAATAACTAGTTGAAGGTGCATCATGTATTGCATCAACACCTTGTTAAACTACTGCTGGAAGGCCCTCTTCATCAAACCTCAAGAACAATAGTTTTTACTTGTTTTCAAATTCAAAATTAACCTGTGCCATCCTTAGATCACCCAAAACTTATGTTGCAGAATAAAGGGGCATTAACATACACCATCATCTTATGTTGCAGAAGAAGAAAAAAAAAAACAAATTGTTATTAGTTTAATAGCAAACTACTGCGTTAAACTTATTAGAATTATGTCAAGATTCAAAATTTGATTAACACAAAAGTGCTCCTTATGCAGACTGGATCAATGCCGCTAAATTTGAATTTTTTGGCTGTCGGCACTGCCTGTAATAGAGAAGAAAAATTATTAGTAAAATCATTTCAATGTGAAAATCTATGCAATAAGTAAATGTAGGCATGTATTTACTTTTATCTTCTCAGCCCACCATTCCTCTGGTTCATCAATTATCCGCTTCAGTGGATCCCAACTCAATCCCATTGATCCCTTTTGAGTTTTTTCCAAAATTTTCACTCTTTTTTTAATTGATCCCATTTGTTTTTGAGTTTCATTCAATCATAATCCCTTTCGGTCAATTCCTTGAATTTAGTCATAAGATTCTGCAAACCTTTTTTATTAAAATAGGTGGTCGGCTTATTACCCAACTCGACCTCCTTCAGACAGAGATTACAAAATATAAGGGTGGCCTCTTTATCTCACATGGCCGATGATCCGGACTCTTTAGTTTTACTCATTTTGATTGTGAGATAAACGAGCTAGCATGAAATTAATATTATTCAAGAGAGAAAACGTTAGCCTAAAACTTAGATGGAATAATAAAGATCGTGGAAATTGATAATCATAACTAATATTGTCTAAAAAATGCAATAACTTCTCTACTTTTTGCAACAGAGGAGTAAATTATAGATTCTTCAACATTTATCATAGGATTGTTTAGTTAAAGTACATAAAGCTAAGAAGCAAAAATCTTAGATGATCCAAATATATGGTACATGCAAATGCCCATAGATTTATGTAGTGTGAGCCTCTTGAGCATCCTTCACATTTTCCAGAAAATGTATTTTTAATTTGCACAACTCGCTCATAACTCGCTCATATGTTCCAAATATGTTCCAACACCCCAATTCTATAACCATTCTCATCCTTAACATTAAACCCATTTAGTTCTTGAAGTGACCTTAATTTCCCAATTCCAGGTACACTAAAAAAGACATTTGGGGACAATTCCATGGGGCCCAGATTAAAAATATTACTCACATTGCCAGGCACGAAATCATCAGAGCAAAATCCCAAACCACCTTTTTATATATTATGAACCACAAATGATAAACTGCTTAGAGAAATTGGCATGAAATTAGCAAAAGAATTTTTCCAGTTAGCACATTCTAACATGGTAAAACAACAAACGAATCTTTCTCGATGCTTCAAAAATTTCAGTAAAACATTGACAGATCTTATACCGATAATAAAAAAAAGTGAATCTAGATTTTTAGCATCTTTGATCATTCTCAACACTTCCAGATTTTTAGCATCTGCGATTATTCTCAAAGAAGAAGAGCATGTGAGTATAGAGAAGGCTTTCGGCCAAATATATGAGGAGGGAGGAGAGGAGGGAGGGGAGGAACCTTTCTTCACCGTGAGTCTAGAGAACCTTTCTTCACTGCAATATATGAGAAGGACGGAGGAGGGAAACCTTACTTTACCGCAATATTAGAGAAGACTTTCGACCAAATGGGGGAGAGGGAGGAGAGGAGGGAGGAGAAGAATTTCTTTACCAGGGGAGAGCAACCTCTCGGCGAAATGGGTAGTGACGGAGGCAGGATCGGCTTCGATAGAGGAAAGGGTTAGGGCGAAGATCGGGTTAGCGAGGGCAAGGGGGTAAAAGTTGGAGTGCGAACGCGGATCGTGGGGATATACCCACGGTCCGGGTTTAATTGAAAACAGAAAACGGGGTTTTTAAAAACGCACCCTAAATGCATGACACAAACAGAGGCGACATTTTAAAAACGCTGCCGCACTTATACGCTGCCCCAAATGGGCCCTATGTCCAATGGAGATTAACATGATACATATAAGTATTATTTATGTAAGCTATGACTCCATGTTTGGGATCATCATATATTATGTTTTGGCACTTACTCTTTGACTTAAGCTTTGACTTCATGGTAGTCACCGATTGATGTATTGGGCCCAACTCAAACCTTTGGGTGTTCCTCATCCCAATGCCCTATTTAATCTTTATTTGGGAATTTTAAGCTCTATTTGGGAATGCTTGTCTTTTGCATTGAAGCATTGCTTAGTTTGACAAAACTATTTGAATGGTATGCCTCCTGATTGAAGTAGTTGCGAGTCCATTGCTTAGTTCCTCATCCCAAAGGCTATAATAAAAATGATAATTGTACATTTCTAATGTCACAGTTCCCAACTATTTGGATTTTGGACAATGAAAGGCTTATATTGTTGGTGGATTTAGCATAAAATGTGGTGAGCCGTGGAAAATATCTATTAAAACTTGTTTTGTTTTTTTAGTCTGATGTTTTGTTAATTTGACACTAAATAGGACTCAATGAAAATATGACACTAAGTAGGACCCAATGGAGAAAAATGATTCATGTAGCCGACCCCACGTAGTGGGATTAAGACTTTGTTGTTGTCGTTGTTGATGATGTTTTGTTAATGATATTGATATCAGATGCTTACATCCCCGAATGCTCATTTTCTTGAATGAACTCGATTGATTTCGTAAGGAATTTGGAAATTGCATAACCAGTTATGCGATAAGACTGTCTTTTTTCATACCATTTGTAATAAATTCCAACTCTCTGCAATTGTAAAAGATCAGCATATATGATATTGGCATGGATTTATCTATTTATTTTATCTGAGCAGTGATGATGTATGACACAAGCCTTTACGACTTTGCCATTCCACCAAGTATGGCAGCTCATGTTGTAAATGATGGATTTCAATGGCAGTGCCAAGCTTTTATGTCTTAAATCACACGGCTGATTTTCTTTTTTGGAATTTTTTTTTACTTTTTGAGGCATGTTGTAGAAGCTGTTAAACTATAAGCCATGATTTCTATGCTACCCCAAAGTTTTCATTTTTTTAATTTAATTATTTTTTTTGCTAAGAACTAAACTAATAAAGTTAAGGTATGCATATATTAAAGCTGTCTTGGCTTCTAAATGAGTCATCCTTAATGTTCATGTAGATTCAACAAGTCGAAACTTCATCTACCAGGATTGTTTGTCAGCTTTTTGGGGTCTTTCATAACTTTAATACATTAAATAAAGACAATCCAGTAGTAAATGGTGAGTCCCTAGTTATTTTGTTGATTTATTCTAGCACCATTTGAGGCACATCTAGCTGCAAGGGATCTAATTTGGTGAGATGGTACACCCCCTGATTGAAATAGTTGTCTTCCGTCCTCAAAGTTGACCTTACTGTTTATATTTATAATTTATCTTGATTGTTTTGCTTTGTTATTGCAAAATAATTAGAAAATTGTTTATATTTTTACTTTACTAATGTGAGTTGATCAATAATGATTACCTCATTTTGTTACAGTTGTACCTTTCAGCTGATGCAATTGCACAGTTTTATGAGGATCAACGTACATGTTGGAGTTTATGCTTGCTTTTCTAGATCTAACTTGATATCCCCTGGGAATGGTACTTTCTTAAGTCTAGAATTTCTTTGGACATGTTTGTGATCACTTTTATTTTTATTCATAAAAAATGTTTGTTTATTGTGTTTTAAATTATTTTTTAATTTCTTGTTTTTGAAAACAACATTCGGGTATTTTCATTATTTATAAAACAACTATCACTGCTGATCTTCACCATCATTGTCATCACTGCTACCACGTTGGCAACAGCCACCCCCACCGCCCTGCTGCCAATCTCTGCTACAATTGCATAAATGACAAAAAAATAATATATTTTGAGATACCAAATATATTTTATTTTACATCAAATTATAAACAAAAAAAGTGATACTAAATCCTCCCATAAAAATATTTTGACTTAGTTTCTGGCCAACAAAGATATGTTATTGTGCTTATTATAGGTGTTTGTGTGTGCAGAGAATCAGTGTAAAATGGTTTTGTCAACCAATTTCCTTTTTGAAAACTATGAATGATGATTAAAATCTCTCATTACTTCATTGAAAAGTGATATAAACAATCTTGTCTTCCTTTCTATTGGGACTGGCTTATGTAGTATCTTGTATGCATGCTTATGTTTTTCTAACCACTGGTAAATATTAATGCATACAGTCTTATGTTAGAGGCTTAGGGCACATCATATATTGTTGTTTAGGTAAACTTGTGTCTTTTCAGGTTATTCCCCGATACATTGTAATCGATTGTGCAAATTACTTTGGAGTATTGAAGCTGACATAGGGGACAACCAACTCATATTCCTGACAGGGGATCTAGTATCTTTAGGCTGCTGGAATCCAGATTTAGCTGTGCTTTTGTCTCCTTCTACAGAATTTGCTCACTTATGGTATGCTGAAATAAAGGTGATTCTTCTAATTTCCAGTTTAAATTCCACATTTCCCATTCATTTTACCTAGATATGTTGACAATGTTCATCCTGGAATAATAAGTTTGATTAGCAAAACATGTCTTAGGTAATGGAACTTGTAAACTTTAATATTATATGATCTAGCTGACTCATAGTTGACAGAAGGTAGTTAACTCTTTATTATTATTTATTGTATTGCGTTTTTTTTTCCTTTTGAATAAAATGCATTAACCCTCATTTGTCATGCAATTGAAAGAAAAATTACTTCTTTCAATGCTCTTTTTGATGCATCGGAAGCATATTTTTTGTTTTTATTTTTCTTTTGATAATAAGTTAATGGAAAAAACTATGTACGGGAAGCATGTTCTTGGATTTTATTTTCCCTTTTATAATAAGTTATAAGAAAAAACTCAGTAGCAACTTGTACATTTATCATAAGCCTATTATTACTAATCTCTCGTATCATGACATTTCTTAAGCTTAATATGATCATCATTGAATATTTAAATAAATATACGATTCAATTTAAAATATGCTGAATAACATCGGATACAAATGCTTAGTTTATAGATAATAGAAATATTTATTTAAAAGTTTCACCAATTAATAAAATATTTATATAATCAGAATTAGTGAGCTAGTATTAACAAAATTATTGTGCAGCCATTTGTTCGTTAATAATAGGTTGTAAACATATTTTCTTATATATGAAGCATTTATGTTGAATTGTACACACAAATCTAATTAATTATGAATGCACTGATAACAGTCTAAAAAAATTATCTTTTCTATTAGAGAAAAAAATTATTTTTTATATTAGGATGTGTATCTTTCCTACTTGATGATTTACCCTTTCTAGACGAACATCGCAAAAATCTGTTTGTTAAACAATCCCAAAGTTACTTCGCCTCATAAAAGTCTATAAACATATCAATCTGATTATAAATTGATCCATTAAGAAAAATACTAAAATTCAAAATTTAAATAAAAAAAATTGAATTTCTTACCTTACCTACTTCGCTTCCCTTTCTCTCTCTCTCCTTCTCGCCTTCCCCTACCCTTCTTCTTTTTCTCCTCTCTTTCTTTTTGCTTCTCTTCTTCTTACTTGTCCCTGATTTTCCCCACAATATTCACCCACCCAGCTAACGTGATGGAAAAAAATGGTAGTTTGAAGGCTTAGTTTATAATATATATACACTTATAAATATAATCAAATAATTATATACATAAATGTATAAATAGTTTATTCTTTATTTCGTTTTAACCGTGCTTAATATACCTTATTGTTGCATGTAGAGATTAGTGGCAAATTGGGTTTCCAATACTGTGCTATATTAACACTCAGCACAATCAAAATAAAATTTTAGAGAAAAATTATCAAAACTAAAATTAATTCCATAACTCTCTCATTTTTGAGAATTAGCCTACAGTTCTATATATCTAAATGATCGTTTTGAAGAGTAGAATGCAATAGAATAATTTTTGTTTTATGATTTTTGAATAACTTATTATTTTAGAGAGACTTTATTTGGGGTATTTTGCTCTTGTACCATATCAACAACTGGGACATTGCACTTAAAGAAACTAGGCTCCATTATTCTTCTCAAAATATTTGAATTATTTATTTATTTAGTTAGTTATTTATTTTTTTGTAGTCTTCTTCATCAACAAAACAAACTTAACAAAAAAAAAAGGCATTTTTATTGGTTGTTCTCCAAACCAATAATGATATTAGTATTATTCTTCTAATATTATACTATAATGAATTTAATCTTTTTAAAAAATCAATCAATCCTTGAGTTCACATTTAAATGGTTTGTTAAAACTCAGTATATGAATTTGAGTTTTGTTCTATTTTATCTCAATCTATATCCCTTCCATACCTACTTGAATCACACTCACTTGAATACCATTTTTTTCACTGCCCTAAAGTTTAGAAGGTCTCATACAACGAGCATGACACAATGGGTCATCTCTTTTAAATGGCAAGAAAATTCAACTAATAAAGTGCAATAAACCTTTTTTTGTACACTAAACTTTGAGTCTGACATCACTTCACAATGTAGCAATGACTCTTATGATGATCTTAGCATTTGCTTTCAGGAAGGGCATAAAGCATTGCACTAAACTCGCTATTAATCATTATATTTTTTATGACAAATTATTTTCTCCCTTTTATCAAGAATTTATCAAGCATTGGGATTCAAAATAATATTGAAGAATTAAAGGTGCTTGAATGGAGAATTGCAATTTATGAAGCAATTAATGCTCTTGAAAGAAACAATGCATTGAAACTTTCAAATCTTACCAAAAGGAAGAAACCTATTGGATGGTATGATATTAGGATAATAACCCTCATACCATTATTGGTGAGGTGAGTAGCCAATAAAAATAAATTTTTTTGGGTTGGGTTAAGTTTGCTTCCTTGATGAGGATGCTATGCTAAAACAAGTGTCAAATGCTTTGAGAAGAAGCATAAAGCTGAGTTTGTTTTTAAGATAGGCTTGGATGAGAGTTTGATAATGAGTTTTGAATATGAAAATTTTTTATGGCACCTGATTGATAAAATATACAACAGTGAGGACAACAAGATAGGAGGGGATTCTCTTTTAGATGTCATGAAAATTCAACTAATAAGGTCTAACAAACCATTCATCTTAAACTAAACCCAATGCATGATTTGAGTCTTGACATCACTTCCTAATGCAGTGTTGACTCTAATGATCTTAATGTTTCAATTGCTTTCAAGAAAGGCATAAGGAATTGCACTAAACTCTCGGTCAATAATTATTTTTTTGATGACAAATTACTCCATAAGTTTCATCATGCCTTTATTATGAATTTATTTACTGTGGAAGTTCTAAATAATCTTGAAGAAACCTTAATGGTAATTGAATCTCAATTACAATTAATGAAGAAATTTATGCTTTAGAACGAAATAATACATGAAAATATTCAAATCAAACGGAAGAAATCTATTGGATACAATTGGATCTTCAATTTAAAATACACATTTTGATGAGAGTATTTTGATATATATAAAACAACATTATTTGCAAAATGGTTCACATAAATGTAGGAAATTGATTATCAAGGAACTTTTGCTCGAATTGTTGAATGAACATTGTTCGGGTAATTTTGTTTCTTGGTGGTAATTTATATTGTTCATTTTATTAATTAAATGTAAAAATTCCTTTTTAAATGCGAACTTGGATGATAAAGTTTTTATAACAATTTCTTTTGAATTTGAGAGTAATGGCAATATGAATAAAGTTTGTAGACTTAATACATTTTTATATGACTTAAAATTGTTACCAAGAGCATAACTTAGATGATGAATTTTATATAACAATTCGTCTAATTTGAGAGTAATTGCAATATGAATAATGTTTGCAAACTCAATAAATCTTTATATGGCTAAAAATAGTTACCAACAACACGACCCCGTGAGTTCTTATGGCGATTAAAAGTGAGGATAGTTTAGATGATTTACGCAGAAATCATTTGTTGATGATATCATTTTGTAGGGAATTATGAAGAACATTGAAACATTTTAAATGTTTCTTGGCTAAATAATTTGAAATCAAAGATCTTGTTCCAAAAAAAATACTTTCTAAGCGTGGAGGTAACACAAAAAGTCAAGGGGATATTTGTCTCTCAATAAAATATATTTTTAACTTATCAAAGGGAACTAACTTGCTAGAGTATCTGCCTATAAATACACCAATGGATCCTTTAAAAAAAATTGGAATGATGATTCAATCTATATTTACGAAGAGAGATATCAACAATTAGTTGAAAAACTTTTTTGCTTGTCTCACAGTAGAGCTATTTTTTTGTTTTCCTCATAGCATTTTTAATGGGTTCATGAACAACCCTTCTAGGGAACACCTTGATTCTGCATATGGGATAGCAATGCATATTAAGAAGACACTTTGAAAAGGGTTAATTTTTTAGAAAAAAAGAACTAACACTATACACAAATTTTCATTATGCTTACTAGATAAGATTTGTAGCTGATTGTAAATTCACATTTAGCTATTTCTCATTTATATGGAAAAAATTAGTCACATGGAAAAGTAAAACATAAATATATGTTGCTCGGATCAGTGTTGAAGTCGAATTTAGGGCCATAGCCTATGGAATTGGTGAATTTATGTTCTTAAGCACCTTCTAGAATTTAAAAGCTTTTAATACAAAACTAATGGTAATAAAGTGTGTCAATCATGTTACCGTTAGCATTGCTAAGAAACATGCTTAACATGATTGGATTATGCATGCCGAGTTTGATAGAGACTTTATAAATGAGAAAATTGAATAAGGAATCGTTAAAGTTTGTTACACTTCAAATGATATCAAATTATTGATATCCTCCTTGCTGATGCCCTTAATTAAATGCAGTTTAGTACCTTTTTCTTTCAAGCTGGAACGATCAATATATATTCCCAATTTGAGGGGCAGTATGGAAATCCTGAACTCATTCAAGTTTATGGATATCTTTCCAACAAATGGAGAAATTTTTCTAGATTCATGCATATGCTAGTGGACAACAACCTGTCATAATTTGCAAGGATTAAAGACAACGGCTATAAATCATGAGTCATCATGGAAAATCTCAAGTAGGGAAAAATTTGGAAATGTTCATTCAAACAAACAGTCTTAGGTTCTTTCTTTCAAACGGTCATCCCTAATTGTAATTCCTGTCATTCTACGGTCCCAAATTGTTTGACGGTTAAGTCCATTGTAGGAAGATGTAGCCACGTGTTTAAATCAAAGATCATGATTTCCTATATTTTCCTAGTGACTTGTTTCTCTGTAAAAGAGGAATGATATCATATATGTATTTCCCTATTTGTGTTAATATTTTGCCCATTTTTTTATGTCAAGTTATTGATTTCTATTATATGCCCTCCATTTGGGTCTTATATCTCCAAAAAATTATGTTTTCCTTCGCCTATTCGGAAAAGAAAAATATAGGAGCATTACTTACATGGCGCACAATTTTTATGTATTTACATATTTCACACAAACTTTCATGTTTTACACATATAGCGCTCAAGTCCTTAATATCACATCAAAACTAGCAAAATTACCACTTTTAAAAGTGATGCATTTTTTTTATGAGTCGGTTTAAAACACCAAAGTGCTATGTATGTAAATACGAAAGTATAGGTTTGAAATGTGTAAATACATAAGAATTGTGTGCTACATATGTAAATTTCCCAAAAATACAATATACTTCTATATTTGTCAACAACGATATAGTTGGATTGGCATTTGTTGGTCTGTTTGTTGATACTCATATATTTTTTCCATAATTCAGCAATAATTTGCAGATACCCTCGTGTATCATTGTTCAAGACAAAATTTAGCATTTGATTTAAATTGATAATTTTGAGTTTGGAAGAGATGATATTCTTTGCTTCTATTTTGTGTAACCTCTTGATTAAGGGATTTGACGATTACATAGCACTTCACGGTCAACAGAAGAAAACGATTTATTTTTTGTGCCTTCTCTCATTGTTTTTGAGCTGTGGGACACTTTAATTGCAAGAAAGTTGCATGTTATGGTTCTGTGTGATGAGGCTTATTGATGTTTCATGGACAAGCACGCATGGAAAACTTTACTTTTATTTATTTTATGAATGCTTTATATTTGTTGTAAACACCATGCAACACGATTATGCACAATTGCAAGTTTCTGCCCTTTTCTGAAGCTTTCAAACTGTATATCCAGGTACCTAATGGGATCCATTTCAAGTACAATTATTTTATAAAGAACAAGAAATTGCCGGCTGATGTCCTTATTTGGAGGGCGGGGCCTGAATTTTCCTTGTCCGTGCCTCTTGAAAATGATGAACAGGAAGAGGTTGTTGTAAGAGATTCTTGGATGAGAACTAGATTAAGGAGCTGGCCAAGTCCCTCATGGGATTCATGGATGTTGGATATGGAGCTTCCAGTTCGTCATGGGCATCACATCAGTGAGGTTATTCATAGGACTCCATCTACAGGTACTTGCAAACCTTATATTATTTATCTAGACATCCACATGAGCTGTTCTGTTGTTTCTGAACACTTAAATGCTTTCAGTGCATGACAGGTGAACAGGAGATGTTGCCAAATTCCAATGGGAGCCATTCAATTAGGAAGCAGTTCCCTGCTGGTCAAACTTCAAATAACCATATACCCAAGGAGGACCCAACAGTTACTTCTAGTTGCTTAGAAGAGATATTACCGGAACGAGACCAGCCTGTTGAAGAACCATGGCTACTTCGATCTACACTATCGTCCATGGTTGAACCTAAAAATCTTGATGTTACGACTGAACAAAATAAAAGTCACCAAATTGAATCTCCTGGAAACTTGTGCTCTGACACAGAAATGTCAATTCCTGAAGAGAGCCAACTATCTTATGCTGAGAAATCTGCCTCCATAGTTATACTAATTAACTCTTCCATATGTACCATGCAAAGAATTGCCATTTTGGAAGATGGAAAGCTTGTTGAATTACTACTAGAACCAGTTAAAAATAATGTGCAGTGTGATAGTATCTATTTAGGAGTTGTGACAAAATTTGTTCCTCATATGGGTGGTGCATTTGTAGATATTGGGATTTCTCGACCTTCTCTTATGGACATAAAGCAAAACAGAGAGCCATTTGTGTTTCCTCTTTTTCAACAAGAAATTGGTAGAGAATATGTCAACGGCTTTTTTAATGCTGAAAAAAGCAAATTGACAAACATGAATGAAAATGAACAATGCTTGGATGATGAGGACTGCATTGACAATGTCTTGGAGGTTGATCCTGAAGTTGCTTACTCGAGGGAAGATTTTGAGGATCCAGAAACAGATGATGAAATTGATGTCACTGATGTTCCTCAAAATACGAGTTTTGCTAGCGAGTTTGTCAGCAATGAGTATTATTCTGAAGATTCTGAAGTAAATGAGAGTCACTTGCAAGATGATGTTGAGAATTATCTCATTTTAGCTGCAGAAGATTCTAATTTTTTACATCCCATACGAACTTCAACTAAGTGGGACAATTCCATATCAGCTGATAACAAATGGGCTAATGTTCGCAAAGGCACAAAAGTTATTGTTCAGGTGGTTAAAGAGGGGTTAGGAACAAAAGGTCCAGCTCTCAGTGCTTATCCAAAGTTAAAAAGCCGATTCTGGGTAAGTATTTTAAGGTCATGATAAATGGCTCTTCCATTTCTGTTTTTTAGTACCTTGTCATGGTTAATTTTTGTGATATTTATATTCATGCCACCAATTACTATGTATTTACATATCTAACACCTAAATTTTCATTTTGCATTTATGCCACATAAGTGGGACAATCCATATCACTATTTTAGTCTTTTAAAAGTGAAATACACATTTTTATGCATGGGTATGGTGGCATATATATAATAATTGAAGTTTTGGTATGTAAATACATAGGAATTGAGTGGTATGTATATATATCTTCCTAATTTTTTATACCTTAATTCCTTAGATTAGGTTGGTTGTGTTTAGTTTCCGGATTTCTGTGAGCCATGTTTATAAGGAATCTGAAAAATTGTTAATGTTTTCAGCAAACTATTATTTATTGTACATTAAGGCTAAAATTATGTTCTCGGAGTTTGAAATGTGGATGCTATGTGGCATAGGAAGGTTATGCATTTAGAGGAAGTAAGATGTCATACTCGTGAACACAGTTGGATATATATATCTGGTAAAACTTTATCTCTTATTCTCTCTCTCTCTCTCTCTCTCTATATATATATATATGGATGGATGGCATAGGAAGGTCATTCATTTAGAGGAAGTAAGATGTCATACTCGTTAACACAGTTTGATATATATATGTATATGTATATGGTAAAACTTTATCTTTATACATATATATATATATATATATATATA